GACGATGACCTCAACCAGAGGTGGGACTCCAGCCCTGAGCAAAGGCTCAGCAGCGGCAGGGTTCTTGGCACAGATACCAACAGCGGTGCTGCCCGCAGTGTCACGGAGCACAACAAACGATTGGCCAAAGCAGCCTCTGTATCATCGCGAGTGTTTGCCCTGAGGAAAGCGGGGGCAAGCGTCAGCACGATCATGAGAAGCTCTCCTACGGCCACGGCGGTGTGGGGGGCGGCGGTCACGGGTACAGCTGGCATGAAGATTGCCGCTCTCAGGCTAGCCACTCTCAGAGGGGAGGGTCGTGTACCTCCAGGCACCTCGGTTGCTCTCAGGTTGCGTGTCACCCCCAGAAGGGGCCACCAGAGATCCCTGGGTTGGTGTGGTCTGTGACGTGATCAAGCATTGGGCATTGAGTGTACAGTCTGCCTTGCCAGGAGTTGGTCCGCTGCAGGCTTGCCTGCAGGAAGCGCATTGCCTGCTGGAAAAAGAGCGGCATTGGTCTCAAGTGGTCGGCCCGTCTCAGGCTGCGGTACTATCTCTCGCTGGGATTGGCTGAACCTTGCCCTCTGCCGATGTCCTCTGGCATCCTAGGCTTGGGGAGTTCAAAATTGATGGCTTCTGTCCTGCATGATTTGTTGACCTTGTCAGGCCTCTGGCGCTTCAGGCTGCTGACATCGTGGCGATGGAGAGACTCCAAGCGCTCTGGGTCTCCCCCCTCAATTGGCCTCCCCTCGCTCGTCTCATCAATAAGGACTTTGATGACAGCTGGTCGCAGCATCGCGCTGCTGCCATTCGGAGCCTGGTCGGTGGATCCCATTGGCCTCAAGCTCGGTTACACTCCAGGGGTAAGCCTGCGTCCATTGTGGCACAAGAGGCACCTTGTGGCACCGCTTGTATGATTGCCCCAGGTGTCTCCAGGTCAGGCGTGAGGAGTGCCCACAGCATGTCATGCAGGCCGCTCAGTATGTGAAGCAGATCGGGGAGGAAGCTGGTGAGCTCATGGCCAGATGCCTCGTTCCCGCCCCGTCTCTCCGCTCCCCTTGCGAGGAGGTTCCTCAGGAGGATCAGCTCAGGTTTGTCTGTGTTTTCCCCTGGTGGGAGTTTTCAGGTGCTGTCTTCGTGGACGGCTCGGCGTTCCATTCCCACCTTCAGGGCTTCAGTCGTGCAGGATGGGCGGTTGTTCAGATCGACCCAGCTGGCAACTTGATCGGCGCCATGTACGGCGCGGTGCCGCTCCACGCTGCTCCAGGACAGGCGGCTCGGGACGGGGAGGCCCGGGGATTCAGAATGCTCTCTCGATTCAGCGAATGGTCAGCCGACCACCCGCTGGAAGTCCACACGGATTGCTCAGGCACGCTAGGTTGTGCTACAGCGTCTAGCATTGCCCTCTCGGCCTCCAACCCTCGTCGTCACATGTGGGGTGGCTGGTGGAGCGGCATCGGCAGACTGGCCTCTGTTTGTAAAGTTGAGGCTCACAGGAGCCTAGGTGCCGCCGCCTCGGATGATGAGGAATGGCTGATTAAGAGGCAACGCTCTCGCAGTTAAGAGGGCCAAGGGAGGAGCCCGCCTCTGGAACGTTTCGCAGGATCACCTGGACTTCGTCTCTGGGTGTGAAAGGATAGCCTCGGACATTGTTGAGTGGCAGAGCAGATGCCAAGAATTGTTGGCGAGCTGGAGCAGCCAGACTCGCAGGATCTTGTAGGCACTGCGGACATAGTCTTGGATGATGATATACCCCCTGGTCTAATTCAGGCCTGTTTGGATGAAGGTGTGGCGCCTTTCGGGATTGGTCCTTGGCTGTGGGGGTTGAGATTCCTCACCCCGCTCCGAGCCTCCCTCCTCCGCCCTCTGTGACAGGGTCTGTCGAACCAGGCGAGGTAGATGATTCCTTTGTCTCTGCCTCTGGTGTCCCCTGGGTTGTCAGGGGCCACTCGCTGGTGCAAGCCTCTGTCACCGACCAAGGCCAGGACTTAACGGACCTTTTGTTCTGCAAAGATTGTGGGGCCTCTGCGCACACGTCGGCGCAAGGTCTCAGAGAGGCGTGCAAGGGCTCCAAGCATCCTGGCCTCAAGACCCAGCGGTCTAAGTTGAAGCGGGCGTTGTTCCCAGGGCACGCTCATGGCAAAGCCAGGGTGGGCCCTGCCTTTAGTCCGACCCTTGCGATGAAAGCTGTTTGGGGTCCTCTGCTGGACGCTGGTGGGGGCTCTGCTGCTGCTGCTGCTGCTGCTGCTGCTGCTGCTGCTGCTGCTGCTGCTGCTGCTGCTGCTGCTGCTGCTGCTGCGGGGAGCCCTGACAGCGAGTCTGTAGAGGGTCAGGTTTCGGCTGGCAGCCACATGGGCCCTGATTCCAGAGAATCTGGTGCGGGGGGGAGTTCTCGCCTCCTTCGCTTTCGGGGCCTAAAGGCCGTCTCAGTCGCCAAGTTGCATGGTTTCGCCTCGCCGGATGATCTTGTGCAGTGGGAGAGGTCCTGCCAGAGGTCTCAGCAGGAGGCACCCGAACTGATCGGCAGCGATGAAGCTCTAATTGCGCCGTGTGGCGAGGGGCACCATGGCGTGCCCGTACTGTCAGTACCCTCAGTACCCTCCTCCTCCTCCTCCCTCCTCCTCCACCCTCCTCCACCCTCCTCCCTCCTCTCCCCCCTCCGCCCCTCCTCTCCCTCCGCTCTCCAGAGCCCCCCGCGCCACGGCAGCGCGCGGCCAGGGATGGCAGCCGGGGACGCCCTGGCCCGGGACGGCGCAGGCCCTGGGCCAGCCGGGGCCACGTCACGAGGCCAGGCCGGCCACAGAGTGGCTCCCGAACCGGGGGCGGCGGAGTCCCGAGAGCGTTTCCCGACGCGTTTCCAGCACGTGTCCGGGAGGACTTTCCGCGGCTCCTTCGAAGCTCTTTGGGGGCATCTTCGGAAACCCTTTTCTCGAGCCTGCAAGCTCTCCAGGCATCCTTTCGAGCGTCTCGTCTCCCAGAAGGCGGGGTGGCGGGGTCGGCCGCAAGTGGCTCCCAGACCCGGGTCAGCCCGAGGAGCTCGGAGGGGATTTTGCTGACCCCCGTTAGCGCTGACCCTCGTTACGTGAGCCCCGAGGAAAGAAAACAGGCTGGCGCCCGGCCCGCTGCGGCCAGCTGCGTCGCCGCCTCCTTCGCCGATATCAGCTCCTCCCACGGCAGGATCGGTCAGCATCGAATCGGGAAATCGTATCGGATCGGAATGTGCGTCGGATCGGGCCGCATCGGCACGGAGTCGAGATCGAGTCGGATCGGCTGCACCAGGATGCCCAATGGCGCCATACAAGCGAGCATCGGGCCACATCGGATTGCCGGGATATCGAAATCCAACCGAGTCGGGCCGGCTAGAGCCGATATCGAACCGGATCGATCGGATCGGAATGGACCCTGCCACGGACGGCCCGCGTGGGCCCGCGCCCGCTGCAGAGCCGCAGGCCACATCCGTGCCGGTGCACTTGAGCGAAGCCCCCGGGGCTGCGCCATCGACCCCGAAGAGCAAGGACGACCAACGACACCGACGACGACGACAGGAAATGACGACGACGACGCCGACGACAGGGGAGTGGAAGGCGAGGCGGGGCAGGAGGTGGAGGCGGAGGGAGGGAGAGGAGGGGAGGGGAGGAACTAGAGGAGAGGGAGCAGAAGGAAACGAGGGGGGCAGGCAGGGGGGGAGGGGGACCGGGAGGGGAGGGGGGAGAGGAGAGGTGCAAGCACCTCGCGAGGCAGCGCTCAGACGGCCACGGCCGCAGCATTGCCACGCAGGCAGTACGCGTCACATCGCTCCACGACACAACGAAACTGTGCGCGTGCGCGTGCGCAAGGCCGGCACGGCACATCACAGCACAGCACAGCACAACACAACGTATCACATCACATCACAGCACTCGCTGCTGGGCGTGTGTGTATGTGACTACCTGCCAGACCACCCCAACCCAACCCGAAGACCCGAATTTCGGGTTGGGGGGGGTACGGGTTCCACGCGTGGTTTCTCGATGTTTCCCGACCCCCCCCTACTAGAAATCGAGGGCAAATCTGAGCCTTCGGGTTGGGTTGGGGTGGTTTGGTGGGTGGTGAGTATGTGTGTGCGTGTCTGTGTGTATGCGTGTGTGTGTGTCTATGTGCGTGTGCGTGTGAGTGTGTGGGTGCGTGTATGTAAACGTGTAGGTGTGTGCGTATGTGTGTGCGTGTGTTTGTGCGTGCGTGTGTGCGTGAATGTGTGCGTGTGTGCATGTGTGCGTGCCTGCGTGTGCGTGTGGGAGTGTGCGTGTGTAGGGGGGTGCGTGTGAGCGTATGTGCGCGTGCGTGCCTGTGTGTGAGAGTGTGTGTGTGTGTGCGTGCATGTGCGCGCATGTGAGCGTATGTGTGCCGTGTGCGTGTGCGTGTGTGTGTGTGTGTGTGTGTGTGTGTGTGTTTGTGCGCGTCTGTGTGTGCGTCTGTGCCCGTGTGTGTGTGTGTGCGCGTGTGCGTGCGTATGCGCGTGTGTGTGCGTTTGTGCACTGGGCATCGGCAGCGCCCGTGGATGCAAAGACGCCGCGGCATGCACGCTGCCATGGTCCCCGCTGCCGGTTCTGGCCGCGCCAGCGCGCTCGGGATGGAAGTCTCCCACCTCTGAGTGCCCCCCTCCTACTCCCCCGCCTCCGCGGCCGCTCTGTCCATCTCAGTCTCCCCTCTTGCATGCTGGACAATTCTTTCTTCGGCCGCCCCGAATTGCTTGACCGCTGGTGCAGTTTACCTCTGCCTCGCCGCCGACAGAAAAAGTGTGTTGTTGTGTACGTGTGTGTGTGAGCGCATGAGTGTGTGAATGTGTAAGTGCGTGGGTGTGTGTATATGCGTGCGTGTGTGTGTAGGTGCGTGTGTGCGTGTGTGCGTGTGTGCGTGTGTGCGTGTGGATGTGTGCGAATGTGTGTGAATGCGTGTAGGGTGTGTGGTGTGTGATGTGTATTTGCATGAATGAGTGTGTGTGTGTGTGTGCGTGTCTTCTCCTGCTCGCCGCGCGCATGGCCGCGACGCACCAAAAATTGCGTTCTGGCCAAAAGTTTCGAGACGAATCCAGCGGGAGCGACGAGGGCCTCCCGGGAAGCCCGAAAGGGGAGAACGAGGGAAAGGCAGCGGTATGGGTACGGTTTCCCCCTCCTCCTCCTCGTTCTCCTCGTTCTCCTCCTCCTCCTCCTCCTTCTCCTCCTCCTCCTCCTCCTCCTCCTCCTCCTCCTCATCCTCCTCCTCCTCCTCCTCCTCCCCCTCCTCCCTCCTCCTCCTCGTTTTCCTCCTCCTCCTCCTCCTCCTCCTCCTCGTTCTCCTCCTCCTCCTCCTCCTCCTCCTCCTCCTCACCACCACCACCACCACCACCACCACCATCATCATCACCACCACCACCACCACCACCAGCAGCAGCAGCACCACCACCACCACCACCACCATCATCATCATCATCATCATCAGCATCATCATCATCATCTGAAGGTTTCGATGAAAGTCGGCGCTTCGCTGCGCCGCTTCCTCACCCGCTCTTCCGCAGCCTCCCTCTTACCTCCGCCGCTGCGGGGTGCAGTGTGCTCGGCCTCCCGAGGCCTGCCTCGGCACCCGAGACCTGCGCCCCGCCCCGCTCCTCTTCGCGGCCGGGCTCGCGGGGCTCGCCGGCCGCGTCGCCCCCCGGCTGACCATGGCCGGCGAGGTCGTGGCGCGGACCGTGAAGCCGTCCAGGGCGGAGGTCGCGCCTCGGCCCGCGCGAGGGCGGGGGGCCTCCCTCGGGCAGAGGAGGAAGAAACTGAAGAAGCACAAAAAACTGTCGCAGCTCCGCCTGCAGTTCTCGGATCGGCGCTGGGCCCCCCTGGCGGCACCTCCGGCGCCGCTCCTGGCGCGCTCTGCGCCGCCGAGGAGGGAGGGTCCGCGCAGATCCAAGAAATCTGCGCGGAGCTCTCACAAAGTATGCTTATGCAGATTTTGTCTTTCGAGCCTCGGCCCAGAGAGAGGCAGCCTCGAATCGGAAAATCAGATCGAACCGAAACCTGCGCCGAACACTAGGGCTGCATCGGCACGGCGTCTCGACATCGAATCGGATCGGCTGCGCCAGGATGCGCAACAGCGCCCATGCAGGCATCGGGCCGCCTCTCATCGTCGGGATGTCAGAATCGAATCGGATCGGTCTGGCGGGAATCGACTTCGAATCGTATCGCTCGGATCGGAATGGACCCTGCCTCGGCCCGCGCGAGGGGGGGGCTCCCCTGGAGCCGCCTGGGGGGCCGAGGTGGCCCAGCACCAGCTCCAGCCAGCAGCAGACAGGGGGGAGGGGGATGGAGGAGGAGGAGGAGGAGGAGGAGGAGGAGGAGGAGGAGGAGGAGGAGGAGGAGGAGGAGAGAGGGGGGAGGAGGGGGGGGCACTCGTCGCCACGGCCGGGCGCGGCTCGGAACACTGCTCGAAACTCGACCCTGGGAGGGGTCGGGGGACCGATCTTTTGAGCCAACCTGCCCGCATGTCCCCCCTCTTCGACCGATCCTCTCAGGGGCGCGCGAACATGGATTAGCGATCCATGGATGAGGAGGAGGAGGAGGAGGAGGAGGAGGAGGAGGGAGGAGGAGGAGGAGGCGGAAGAGGAGGAGGAGGAGGAGGAGGAGGAGGAGGAGGAGGAGGAGGGGGAGGAAGAACAGGAGGAGGACGAGGAGGAGGAGGAGGAGGAGGAGGAGGAGGAGGAGGAGGAGGAGGAGGGGGAGCGCGGTCGCCTAATCCATGGATCGGGGGAGGTGCCCTCCCCAAGATGCGGCCGGTGCCGCCTCGCTCGGCGGCGGAAAGCCACGATTTCCCGTGGAAACGGGGCCCGTCGCTGATCCACGCCCCCTTGATCCATGCTTGCGATGGCCTGGCTCTCTGGCCTGATGCAGCCCAGATCCCCCGGGCCGCCTCGAGGGCCTCCCAGGCTTTGAAGGTGGAGGCGGCCAGGGGGTCTGAGCTGGGTTGGGGCTATAGAAAATCGGCCAGGAGGGCCCTCCTCCCTCCCTCCTCCCCTCTACCTCCTCCCTCCTCCCTCCTCCCTCCTCCCTTCTCCTCCCTCCCTCCTCCCTCCTCCCTCCCTCCATCCTCCCTCCTCCCTGGGGGCGAGGCCAAATCCGCAAAACCCGGACCCCTCCCAGGGTCCATCCGGTGCAGCTGTTCACCCCAGATCACATGCTTGACGGCCGAGGGGCCCGAGAGCGGCCCCCTGGGAGGCCGAGAGCAAGGCAAGAGCCCTTCCCGAGCCCAGAGCTTCGGACCTCGGCCCCCGTCCTGCCGGCCGGAGCCCGTGCCTGGGCCACCCCGGGCCCCCAGGGACGGCTCCAGCCTCCACGGCGCCATCCGGAGGAGGTCCACGGCCAGGCCCGCCGGGCCGGAGCCCTGCCCTGGAGATCGCCAGGGCCCTGCCCGAAGAGTGAGCAAAAAGAAGAGGGGGAGGAATAGTGGGGAGGAGGAGGAGGAGGAGGAGGAGGAGGAGGAGGAGGAGGAGGAGGAGGAGGAGGTGGGGGAGGGGGACCCTGGGTGCGGAGCTGCTCTCCCGCCCTCAGGGGCGCGCCGGTGTCCGTGGGTGCCCGCCACTCCGTGGCGGCGCGCCCCAGGGGGTGCGGGGGCAGGGGGAGAGGCATCTGGAAGGAGGCTGCTCCCCGGAGGGGGCGCCGGCCCCACATCTGCAGACAGGGCCCGCGCCCTCCGAGAAGCAGGGCTGCTTCTGAGAAGCCCTCCCCCGCCCCCCTGCCCCCTCTGCGCGCGGCTGAACTTCTCGAGGGGCGCTCGGGATCCCGAGGCACGGCTCCAAGGTGGCGGATGTGAACATCTTCTGGCGGCTGATGCGGGGCACTCCTACATGCACGACCACCATGGACCCTGTGTTACCCACAGACCCTGGGCGGTCTTCGGCGGGCTTCTGGCGGTCTTCGACGCTCTTCCGCGATCTCTGGCCGTCTTCGGCGGTCTTCGGCGGTTTCGGCCGTCTTCGGCAGTCTTCTGGTGGCTGAGCCAGAGGCAGAGATGTGAGTGGATTCTTGCTGTCGGGCCTGTCTTGGGCGGTCACCGTCTCGATCCTCGCATTCTTGCGCGAGCGAAGTGGCTGTCAAGAGGATCGGCTGGGCGGGCGCAGCGCTGAAGCGCTTCATTCACGTATTACTTCTGATGCTTGCGACTCCCCCGAAGAAACGCTGCACATCAAAAACTACATTCTGGCGGCAGGTTTAAGGCGTTCCACAAAACACATGCTATGCTCGTTGTTTTCGGCTCTCGAGGGCCCTCGCCGTGCACCAGGGCTGGCAGAGTAACGACTTTAGATGCAAAACGGGCCGCCTGGGGAAAGGGTCGGGACTACCAGGCTTGTTCGCATGAAAGTCGGGGGCGTCCAAGAGGGAGTCGTTCAAGAGGGGGCTCGCAAATCGTGGCCCGAGGCATGTGCGCGGCCCAGGGGGGGCAAAGGGACGCAACAATAGGGCTAGACCTAAACAATGTTTTTCGTTTTCGTGTTGTTTTCGTTTTCCATCGTGTTGTCGCCAATCCGCCTTTGCTGCAAAACTAGGCCGAAACGGAAACGGCCCACGAAGTCGCCAAAACGCGGTTTAGGTCCACCCTTGCGCATTAAACAAAGAAGAGGCGCCGTGAAATCTGGGGAGGTACCATGGCAATGGCCACGATATCCCCCCCCAAGTCATCACCCCCCTCTCCGCCGCACCCGGGAAAGGAACACGTCCTGTGGGGACGGGGCCCCAGAAGCTGCTCGTCCTCTCCAGGGACCCCGAGGCCCTCCGGAGGGCCCAGGAGCCTCAGGCAAGCGACTCAGGACGAAGCGCTGTGTCCCAGGGGAAGCCCTGGGGTCTGTTGGCCTCGCGCCAAAGAGTGCAGGGGGAGGGGGGGAAGGCTTCTTAGGAGCACCCCTGCTTCTGAAAGGCGCCGGCCCTACATCTACAGACAAGGCCCGCACCGTCTAAGAAGCAGCCTCCTTCTGCGAAGCTTTCCCCCGTCCCCCTACACCCTGCGAAATGCTTAAGAAATCATGGGTTCAGAAATTCATAGTCTCAGAACTTGAATAAAAACCCATTTTTTATTAAAATCTTAGGATGTACATTGAAACATTAAGAATAATCGAGACTCTGGCCGAAAAAGTAAGTGTTTCTTAAGCATCGCCTAAGGTGTACAACCCTCTGCGCGTGGCCAATGTATGGCGAACTCGGTCAGTGACTTCTGTAAGAGGCAAAGGCAGGATGCCGACAGGTCGGGGAAAAGTAGCTCGAGGATCTGTGAAAGCCGGTGGATCAGTAGATCAGTGGATTCTGGGACGCCCCGAGTATCCCCAAGGGCGAGCTACCCGCGCCACGAGGATGCCTGGCCACAAGCGCTGGAAGGAGCGGGCGGGAGAGACGCGACGACCCCTGGAGGGTTCAAGCCCCGCCATGCGCTCTTGCAGCCACGTCGCATCTCACAAGCTCCGCTACCACTCGAAGGTCCAGCTAGGGGCCACCCCGCAATAGAGCCTGTTCGTCCTAGCGGCTCTTCAGAAGTTCCCTTCGTCCACTTACGAGGTGAAATGAGGGGGATAGCAGAGTATCGGCGGCGCGCCCTGAGAGAGGGCATACCTGCTCGGAAGGCGGCGGGGGTTTCTCAGAAGCCCTCGCGCCTTCCAAAAGCCGCCTGCGCCTTCGGAGAAGGCTCTGAAATCTTCTCATGAAGACTGGAATCCTTCTGAGCCCTCTGAGCCCCGCCCCCTCTGCCTTCCCCCCTGACCTCGCCACCCCCCTGACCTCGCCGCCCCCCTGAGCCCCGCCCCCGCTGCCTTCCCCTTAACGAAATGATGGGGGGAAGGGGTAGGGGGGAAGGCTTCTTAGAAGGAGGCTGCTTCTTAGAAGGCGCCAGCCCTGTATCTACAAATGAGGCCCGCGCCGTCCAAGCAGGGGTGCTTCTGGGAAGCCTTCCCACCTCCCCCTGCCCCTCTCTGCGCGTGGCTGAGAGGGGGCAGAGACGAGGCGTGGGCAACAAACGCCTCCCATTCCCGCAGGGATCCAGCCTCTCTTCGCCCGACGCCGTACAAGCAGCGTGGCAGCGCTCCGCCCGCTGCCCAAACACGATGTTTTATCGCGGTCTCGGCGAACCCTCAAGTCGCCAAGGCTGGATCGGACACCCCGCCCGCACCCCATCCACGGGATTCGAAAAAGCGAATCGGCACCGGGCCAGGGGCGATGGAAGGAAAAACCGTTCCCTGTCTCCCCAAACCTCCGGACACCCGCCGAGCACCTCCACAAGCCTCTGGAAGCGCCGATGACCTCCGCATGAAACAGAACAGGGCCTCCAAAAACCCTTGAACGTATCATTTCATTGGCGGCCATACCGGGCGGGAAGGGGGGCGGACGGGAGAGGGCATAACGTAGCGCCACCCCCCCCCAGATTATGGTGCTGGACGCACTGCGGCAGTGCCGGGGATGCACTGAGAGGGGGAGAGTTACGTTGTGGGGGGTGGAGGGGGGGAGGGTAGGGGGCACAACGCGCGTTATGGCCCAGAGGTCTTTCTTTTTATGTATATCTATCTATATATATATATAACCCCACCAAAAAAGAAAAATAAAAAAAAACAAAAAAACAAAAAAAAAAAAAAAAAAAAAAAAAAAAAAACTCCTTATGGCCTCTCCCCTCTGCACTCCTTCCCCCCGGCCCACGCTCCACACACCTTCGCTCTGCCGGGCACTCCCCTCACCGTCGGGCCCCGCCGACTCCAGCAGGGCTACCACCCACGCCCCTCTCGAGTAGGGGATCGACTGCAGAATTGATTTACCCCAAACTTGATGTCCTCGTCGACTCTACAAAAAAGACGTCGCATTTGTCATGGATTCGACGCGAGAAATAATTTTGGGGTAAACCAGTGTGGTAGTCGGTTCCCAACTCGACCCTTTATCCCCCCCCCCTCCCCTTCCCCCCCCCTCCTCCTGCGGCCGCTGCGGGCACAGGAATGTCAACCATACAGGGCACAGCTGGCCCGGGAAAAGTGAATCCAGCACTTCGTGCTGGGAAGCTTGCCCCTCCCTCTTCCTTCCTTCCCCTCTCCTCCCCAATCAAATCACCCCCCCGCAGTCCCCCGCTCACCCCCGCCGGCCTCCAATCAAGACTGGGCTGTAAGAAGCCGGCGACACGTGGTTCTTGTTAGCGGGGCTGTGTCTCGGGGCGCCACCGCTAGCAGAGGGGGTCGTCGTCGTCGTCGTCGAACGGTGGCTTAAGCATGATGCTGCGCTCACGATACCCGAGGCTCTCAAAGAGCCATGGAGGAGCTGCCCGGCAAGAACAGATGACCATGATCGCATGCTCAGAACGCTGTGGCGCCGTAGAGGATGTCACAGGCATGACTGAACCACGTTAAGTGGTAGCAGATGAGAATTCGGGAGGGTGGCAGCGCGGAGGGGAAGGGGAGGAGGAGGAGGAGGAGGAGGAGGAGGAGGAGGAGGAGGAGGAGGAGGAGGAGGAGGAGGAGGGGAGGGGGAGGGGGAGGGGGAGGGGAGGAGGAGGAGAGGAGGAGGAGGAGGAGGAGGAGGAGGAGGAGGAGGAGGAGGAGGAGGAGGAGGAGGAGCTCGAGGAGGAGGAGGAGGAACGAGACGGGAGGATAGAAAAGACGCACGAGGCGAACAGGGCGCCCTAGAGAGGCCCAGAGCTCCCCGGCGCAGCCTGGACGGACGTCGGGCCGCTGCCGCCGGAGCACGGGCGAGAAGCGTTCGAGAGAGCGCTTCCGTCGCACACTCCCAAGGGAGGGGGGTCCCCCCTTAGCTGGGCCCCCCCACCCCCTGGACCTCCCCTGCGGAAAACCCCCCCCCCCTCCTTTCTGTCCACCCCTCGGAAGCTACCCCCTCCTCCCTCCTCGCGCTCTGGAAGCTACCCCCCGCCCTCCCTGTCCAACAAAGTGAGGTGAGGTGGGGGGCTGGCTCACCCTACCCGTCGGAAGCTACCCCCTCCTCCCGTTCGCGCTCTGGAGGCTACCCCCCGCCCTCCACGTCCAAAGGGTGAGGTGGGGGGCTTGCCCTCCCCCCCCTTGCAATTCAGCGGGGGGGCCCATCAGAAGACCCCCCCCCCTTCCCAACGTCCACAGAACGCGCTCTTTCACGTCGCTCGACGTGCCTCCACGAGGCCCCAGGACGGAAGAATCCCGAAGCTGTGTCCACTCTCGCCTTTCTAAGTGTTGCATCGTCGGCTTTGGAGGCCTCAAGATGTCTCGAATATCCTTCGACAGAGCCCCAACCGGAGGGTCAGTATGGTTCCAAGCTGGCCCCAAGAGCGCGCAAGCGCGTCGAATGAGCGCCCCAAGCGGGCCTCCGAAGGGAAGGCGTCATTAATCGGCTTGACACTCCTCTTTTTGGTTCCGATACGGCCACAAGAGCGAGCAAGCGCGTGGAAAAAGCGCTCCTCTCGTCTCCTCATGATCTCGTTCCCCCATTGCTCCTTTTTCCTCCTCCTCCTGCTGCTCCTCCTCCTCATTGACATCCTCCCCCTCCTCCCCTCTCCTCCTGCCGCTGCTCCTCCTCCTC